ATAGTGATTTTCTTTTCCAAAATGGAAGAGGAAGGTGTAAAAAGGAAATAAGACAAAATTAGAACCAAAAAAGACTAAGAAATTATAAAATAAAATAAAATATAAAGAAGGAGTAAAAGAAAACGGGAATAAAGAATTTAGTTTGGTTCATGCTTTAAGATTTAGTTTGCAGTTGGTATCGATCATCGCAAAAATAAATCTAACTTGACAAAGAGAATACCAGTCATTTGCCATCGATCAATTAAGTTTTGATGATCAGCAACGCTTTCCTTGACTTGATGCCGGTTTTGTAGCGGGTGAGAATGACAACAAAAAAAGACATTTTTGATGGGGGTGATCAATTACCTAAGGTGCACAGACACAAACACATCCTCACAAACATACATACACATATACAACCACACACGCCCGTACACACGGAAGAAGTATAAGCACACACCGACACCTTAATGTGCATATGCAACGATGCCTTATTAAGTTTTAAATCTCGCAAGTTGGATTTTTGTTTTCACAGAAAACACCCCGATCCTATTCCATTACGACCGGATCTCACCATCCACGGGGTCGCCAGCCGAAAGAAACTCATCATCCTCACGATTGTTAACTGCGGTTTCACTTATTCGCGGTTCGAATGCTTGAAGAAACACACGTTGACAACTAATTTGTAAAGCGTATTTCAAATCTATATTATAAAAGAATAGATGTTCCTCTGTCCGTCACGAACTGTTTTCATGTGACGTTTCATACGCGTATCTAAGATAAATACATACGCTTTTATTTTATTTTTTTATAAAATAACGTATAAAACAGAAGAATATATTAAGTGATTGCTGAACTTAATCCATTTCATTATATGTTGTCACTGTTTATGTTAAGATACGTTTCGTAGGCAGTTATGATCGATCGAGAAAAATCGTCGAATATTTTTTTTTTAATATTAGTAATTTGGAATGTACGAAACACAGTTTCCGTATAGGAATACAGGTTTGATTCCTGTTGGAGAATGCATATTTTCTACTAAATTTCTCGAACATATATATATATATATATATATATATATATATATATATATATATATATATAGTTAAACCTAGAGAGCCAGAAAAACCTGACGATCCGCTTAGGTGTAGCCTTGATGGGTCTGTCTGGCTCTCTAGGTTTAACTAGGTCTGCTCTACGTACTGTATCGAGCATTTTATTTACTTATTTTGCCGACTCGTATCGGTTTTTCTTTCTTTGGGCCTTGGACTTGAATAATAGACAATTATTTTCGGCTAACGTACATGTTCTTGGCTCTTTCTTTTTTTAATACCTTTTTTTCCCTTTGGTATTGGCTTGTTTATTTGAAAATCAAGACACAGAAGGTTTTCCGAGCGAGTATAGTTTCTTATACTTATAAGATTTCTATTAATAATAATAATAATATATATATATATATATATATATATATATACACAAACAAAAAATCCTGGCCCAGACTGCTCTCCACGACGCCCCCACAATTCGCTAGCACAAACCCACTCTCATTATAAAGGCATCTACCAGAGTAGGACTGAAAAATAAATTTAAAACAATATATATATATATCAAGACTTTTTTTTTATGTCATACATTCTTTTTATAGATAATATTTAAGTAAATTCTCTGTTTAAAATAAACAGTATTAAACAACATTTACCGGCCTGAATGCCCGAGAAATTTTCCCAGAAAATATTCGTCCTCCGACAGAATTCGAACCTGTATCCTATACGGAACCGTCTTTTAACCTGACGTGCTTTTACCGATTTGGCCACAGAGCAGCGTTCAGTCAGCAAGGTCGAATTTACTGTATTTAAACTTACTGGATTTACTGTATTTAAAATTCAATCTTCTATGAATCTCTCACGTTCATTCATATCTGCTCACGGCGTATCAAATGTAAACAAATGACGTCACACATTATGAAATTATGAATGGACAAAGTCCGACAATAAACAATAAAAAGAATGTATTACATAAAAAAATGTCTTAAAATAATTGTCGGACTTTGTCCATTTCATAATGTGTGACGTCATATATATATATATATATATATATATATATATGAAAAATTAATATATATAGTGAAGCGTGGACTGTTGCATTGGATATCTTGACAGGGTTTGACCCATTGGCGTTCTTTACACAGTGAAAGTTTATTTTATTTCCTGATGAGATTTCAGTCTTTCTTATCAATTATCAGTTCTCAATTGTGTATCTTCCTTGAAGACACTACCATTTACTCCTGTTTTGATCATAAATCTGCTTAGTTCCATAGAGTCAACTCGGCAGCTGATCTCTAAAATGACCGTGGTAAAGTATAGTATGTTTATTTTAACGTCCCCAAAACGAAACTTCACTCGAGTTATCATCTGAAAGACGCCTTTTTCTGCCACTTCGTCAGCCAGGCTGTTGCTAATCTTCGTGGCAGTGACATGTTACGCCTTCTCAGGCTAATATCTTCGACTGATATGAAATAGAAAGATTATATTGAATCCATTGCAAGGTATGCCTCTAAGAAAGTTAGTTCATTTTATCATGCTAGATAATATTTTTCTCTCCGGAATCTATCTTACGCATTTATAAGGCTACCATTCGTCCATGTTTGGAATATTGCTGCCACATCTGGTCTGGTGCTCCTGCTATATATTTAGAGATTATTGATAAACTCGTTTAAAGAATCTGCAATATTTTGAATCTTGGCATGGGATCTCGATTTGAATTGGCTAGATGCAGCAATAAGTTCTATGCTAACAGTTTCTTTTCTCGCCTGTGGAGCACATTTCCAGCTCCATGCTTACCAGCCAACTTTCATATTCAAAATTTTAAATGAAATGTCAATCATTTTCTACTGACTCTTTCATTATTCTTCTATTGTTCTCCCTCCTTAATAATGTTTCTCTTTTTTTTCTTATTTATTTTCCACACACACATATATATATATATATATATATATATATATATATATATATATATATATATATATATATATATGAGCATAAACAGATCCAGTTTTAAAAAATAAAACAGTTAGTCTGATGATCTCAAATGCGTTAAAACTCAGGGGCACAAACTCATAACCATACAACAGAATATAATAAATTAAAAAGATTATGTCTGCTTATTTTTAGCATAATCCGTTCTTATTCACGCATATTTTTCCGTGTATTACAATCAAATGATGCAAGAAATGCAGTGAAAATGAAAATCGCTTTTATTTTCTATCTCTTTCTGAGATCCTCATCAGGGGCACAAAGTATATTTATTGCAATACAACCAATCATTATCCGCCATTTTACTTGATTTTCATTTCATCTCGATAATAATATTCTATATCTGAATATACTTTCCAGTTTTCATCTTCTATCCCCTTGATATTTTATTCTGTTGTGCGATTCAGAATCGTGGATCCTATATATCTATGCCATATCAATCAGCTGGATGTCTTCCACAAAAAGTTGTCTCCGCTATAGTTGTCTGTGGCTATACTTTTGACGATAGTGTGTCCAATATTGATATTCTCGCAGAATGCAACATTGGTGGATTGAAACTTTCTTGGGGCAGTTAAAACTTCCCTGGAGAAGGTCAAGTTGCAAGCATGAGGGAAAACAAAATACACAAGGTCCTTATATATATCCAGCTTGACATTGGACAAAAGACTGTCGGACGTCAGTCGCTCAGGTATAATGACAAGCAAAAGAGTAACTCCTCAAATGTCAATGTACCTCATACTAACTTCGAGCGAGTTGTCCTGGATAGAAATAACTTGACATATTTATGCCGGTGCAGTATCAGAAATTTCGTATTGACCAGTTAAGAGACGAAAGACAATGGCAAAATATTCCTGTGGTTATGTCTCCAGATCCTCGCTGTTGTACAATATGTGGACTTGTATGCGGGTCACTAGCGACACATAAATATACATGTAATAGTGTATGTCTTTCACTTCTTCATCATCTGAAAAATTTGTAATACTGTATGTCTTTCACTTCTTCATCTTCTGACAAATTTTTAGACACGATACAATTAAAATTTTATTTATTTATTTCTGTTAAAATATATCAGCAAATCGATGGTTGTGTTTTCTCCTATTTATTCACAGTTTCTCTTTTGATAGATACTGCTGAAAAACATTTTGGTTCTTTTTGACGATGAAAAGGCGCTTGACACTGCTGAACAATCGGCAGTCTTTAACAGTTCACAAAAGCAGATTACTAATGAAAATTATATAAAATTTATTGAGAACACATTGTATATCATTGATGCAGTTATATTCAATATGGATCAATATTGTGAATTTCTTTCTTCGTTTAACGATAATGTTATTAAACTTATCAGATGTTACGAAAAAAAATTACATAAAATAAACAGACAACACTTGTCTATATTATTTAATGAAACGTGTATAAATGAAAATATGCTGCCTAAATACACACACACAATATATATATATATATATATATATATATATATATATATATATGAAACATAGAAGTCAACACTTAGAGGCGACAGTCTGTTTCATGCTCTATCTCTGATATTGAGCATTTTATCCCATAAATATAGCACATTCTTAAGACTATATTTCTTCATATATATATATATATATATATATATATATATATAAATGAATTACATAAAAATGAAACTCAACTGTATCGCATTTTTATGGCCATCTCGCTCCACTGGAGATTGTCAGTACCAAAACGTTTGATAAAAAAATGAATTATAACTTTTTTTTTTTAATGGCATATCAACCACTGTAGGTCATTTAATGCCAAATTATGTTATAAATATATATATACATACACACACACACACACACACACACACACACACACATATATATATATATATATATATATATATATTAAATATACAGTACTATTAAACGGATAGCTGGCAACATTATTGTTTTCAAAAACGTACAGCTGGCAACATTTTTTTCACAAAAAAGTATAGCTGGCAACATTTTTCTGAAA